ATTCACAAAAAAAAAAAAAAAAAAAAAAAAAAAGATTTTCAGGTGCAATAAGATCTTCCTGGGAGAGGCTTTTCTTGCTCTTAGCAAGGTAGGAATCACAGACTCAGAAACCCCTGTATCCATTAAGCGGGATGGAATAGAGGCCTTGAGATAGCAGATGTGGTCTGTTTGGAAGAGGCAGAGGGTCATCTGCTAGAAGTTTGAGTATGTCTGCATACCAGGTTCTTCAGGGCACATTTGGTGCAATGAGAATCACTATGTTCTTTTCTAGCTTTATTTTCTTGAGCAGATGAGATAGGATTCACACTTGAGGGAAGGCTTACATTAGCCTGAACTGAGACCAGGGAATTATCAAGACATCTGAGGCTAGAGCTTGAAGATTCTTGATTCTGCTAACAGACAGGTAGTTTATTGTTGAATCTGGAGGCTAGGATGTGCACATTAAGAATCCCTTATTTTTTGGCATATTCGATTAAAGATTTCCCTTGATCCAGGGGATGGTGATTGACAATTTCCCATTCTCCACTCCACTTGGGATGTAGACCTCAGAAATAACTGGCCAGTGAGTCTCTGTTCAAGAGATAATCTAGCTCGCTTCCTTCAAGGCCACTAGGGTTCTGATGCCCACTTGATGGGTGACAATGGCAGCCACCGTGGCACTGTCTGACTGCACCCTGATTAGTGCCCCTTCAGCAGGGGGGGGTCCAGTGCTGCAAGGCCAATCTGACTGTTCTCAGCTCCAAGACGTTGATGGGAAGCATGTTCCTTGGATTGTTAGAATATGGAACATTTCTCCCCAGTCTTAGAGACTTGCACCTGTTTTGATAAATTTCCAGTGATATACAAGGAAAGCCTTCCCTCACTTTTAGGGCTGGGGTTGAGATATACCAAAAGAGGGATTTCCTTTCTTGGCTGGATAGGAGCTTCGATAAATCGAGAGAAACAATCTGCTTTTTCCAGGCCGAAGAGATATTTTGTTGGAGAGTTTTTGAATGGAATTGGGCGAATGGTACCGCCTAGAACTCCATGTGGAATGTTTCTCGGATCTCAATAGTCAGACATTTGCTCTTAAAAGAACTTTCTTTAGTGGTAGAAAGACTTTTGCTTGGGACATGTTGGAGGACCAGACCCAATATTCCATGCAAACGAAAGAATGAAAAGATTTGCTGAAACTGATCACTCAGCCGAAGTCCTAGAGCATTTGAATTGTCATGTGGACACTTTATGTTAGCTGCAAGGAAGAGTCCTTCACAAGGAAGTTTTTTTTAGATAGCCTGTGACTTGGATGCTCCGAGTTCTGAGCAGGGCAAGCAGAGATGTAAGACCTTTGTGAACACTCAGAGCAGGGGATAGGCCAAAGGGCAGTGCAACAAATTTGAATGGGTTGTCTGCCAATGCGAAGCGCAGAAAAAGCTGAGCAGGTGAGTAAATGGGAACATGTAGACAAGCATCTTGGTTGTCCACAGATGTCAAGTACTCTCCTTGTTTCGGAGAGGCAATCACAGATTCCACACAAAATGTTGAGAATGGAAGGAATTTGTTGAGGGAGTTTAAATCCAGAAAAGGACAAATATCTGTCAGGCTTTGGTAACATGAACAGTTTGAGTAAAAACACTTGGAACTTGTGGTGTGATCTGGCAGGTGGATCAGGGCGTTTTGCAAATCTAACTGCACTTGGGCAGTATCTGGATGATTTGAAAGAAGAAAACTGTGAGGCGGTAGAGTTTCTAACCCTTTTGAAAACACTGATTGGAACATCTGTGACCCAGAGAGAGGCAACATGTAGCATACATAATGCACTTTTGGAGGGTGCCGTTCATTGTGAAGAGGGCTTTGGGGAAGGATTAGTAGCCTTGGTGGGTCAAATTTTGCACAGAAAGGAAGGTTTTGAAGTTAAACCCTGGCTAGAGAAGACAGGTTTTTCTGTTTTGAGAAGCTACAGCTCCTGAAAAGGTGATTTTGGAACCTTCTGCTGTGGAAGTAAAATTTTCCCACCTGTAAACTTCCTGAATATATTGGTCAAGCGCCTCACTGTACAGATGTCTTTCTTGGAAAGGTATACATGTGGGTAACCTTTTGCAGGCAGCTTCAGCTGTCTAAGCTTTTAGCCATAAGATTCTGTGCATGTGAAAGAAGATTAGAGCCATTCTGGAAAAATGTATGACACTACACAAAAAAGTAGGACAGAAATCAACTGCTGTGTAACAGCATGACCCTGAAATACAGGGTCATGTTGGTTGTTCATTGTCCCTAGTCCAGTTAGCACCAATATGACATACTGAATTTGCAGCAAGAGCTGGTTGCACGGCTGCGCCTACAAGACTAAAGAGCTTTTAAGCAGCATCTCAAACTTTCTATCTACAGAATCTTTGAAAAAAGGGACAGTGTTTACTGTTTAGAGCACAGACAGCAGGATCAACTAATTTATGAACTTTTTACACTGGATAGAATTCATTAAAGGTTTTAGGAGGAGTAAAAATTATTTCAGGAGTGACCCAGTCATCATAGACTGCACATTCTATCTGATAGAGTTTTGCAAGTTTTTGGAACCTTTTGCAAAGTTTTGGAAACGTCAGTCCAGAACAACTGCTGCCATTTTTCTGCACCCCAGTTCCTATGTTTTCATGCATAGGACATGAAAACAAGGGACTCAACTATGCATGAAAACACAGGAGCTGAGGTGCAGAAAAATGGCAAGTGCTCTGGAGTAAAAATGTTAGGCTGTAGCAAAAGGCAGTATGTTCACAAAGGGCTGGAGATCGGAACAATAATGAGTGTCTGCAGACAACAGTGAAGCACGGCGGAGGTCCTTGCAAGTATGGGGCTGCATTTCCTGCAAATGGAGTTGGAGATTTGGTCATGATCAATGGTGTCCTTAATGCTGAGATAAACAGGCAAGTACTTATCCATCATGCCATACCTTCAGGGAGGAGTGCAATTCTGTAGCAGAACAACAACCCTAAACATACAGCCAATATCATTAAGAACTATCTTTTAGTGTATAGAAGAACAATAAATCATGAAAGTGATGGTTTGGCTCCCACAGAGCCCTGATCTCAACATCGAGTCCATCTGGGATTACATGAAGAGAGAGGTAGCCTAAATCCACAGAAGATCTGTGGTTACTTCTCTAAGATGTTTGGAACAACTTACCTGCCAAGTTCCATCAAAAGCTGTGCACAAGTGTACCTAGAAGAATTGAATTATTGATGCTGTTTTGAAGACAAAGGGTAGTCACACCAAATATTGATTTGGATTTCTTTTCTGTTCATTTGCCTTCCATTTTGTTAATTGTTAATAAATTATTAACACTTCCATTTCTGGAAGCATTCTTAAGTTGCAGATTTTTTTTCACACCTGCATAAGACTTTTGCATAGTACTGCAGACACAGAATTCTGCCTCAGTCCAATAGGTTGTGTGTTGCGTGCCTGAAACAGAGCTAGAATACAATGCCGAGACTGGTGTAGGAGCTGGTTCTTGCTCCGCTGCAAGTAATGCATCATCATTCTGAGGTTTATTGCTATGCAGGCTTTTGGAAGAGCAAAATTTCACTTACAATTTTGTCTTGTTCTCAGCCATAGCTACAAGTATAAGTAGGATATTCTTCTGTGGGGTACTCAGGGAACGGAATATAAGGTAAGCGTGTCTGTAAGGAGTACGTGATAACCTGAGTGTAAACAGTCCTGTAACAAATCCTCGTGGTGAAAGGGCAGTAGGATACACCTGAGTACCTTATGAAGGCTCTAAGCAAAGGTGGCATTAAAGAGTGTGCTTCAAAATGAGAACAAAGATGGACTCCGGAGAAGTGGAAGAAGGAACCTGCTTGCTTCCCTGAAATCTGAGGCCTCTAACAGAGCAGACAGCCTTCCCATAAAATAAGACATACTGGCTAAGAATTCCTCTCTAGAATGACAGGAGGTTTTGGGGGGGTTTGGGAGGGCAGCAGCACCCTGGGCTTCTTAGATAAGGCTGTTGTCCAGTCTCATCACTGTGTTTTGCAGTCTCATCAGCAAAATGGAAGAGAAGGACATGGCTCCTCTAGCTCTTCGCCCTCCAAGATGGCCTATCCCATAAGAGGGTCTTCAGGGCAGGATTACACCAGGCGGTTCAACAGCACTGGAGTTGTATAGCACTCTACAGCTAACTTATGTGGCGCTATATGCTTAGAGGATTCAGTAAGGGAAAGCTTGGGTGGGTAAGATTTCCCCTTATTTCTGCACATCGGGACAATATGTGAGGTGAAATCTCAAATATGGACCCAGTTTGAAGGTGATCAGATAACTGTGTGTACTCTGATTTGAAGACCTTCTATGATGATCCAAGACCATATGTTTCCCTAGTGAGCCACCCACCTCACAGCCAACACACATCTTTTGTGAGAGGCAACTGACATCTAGATTTTTAAAGCAACACTCCAGCCAAACTAACCAGATAAAAATTATTAGCCTTTTAAAAGATAAAATAACAAAAACAGCATTTCTGGCCATCCCAGACAGTGAAAGGAGAAGCAGCACAGTGATGAGCTCATATCTCTGTCACTATGCTTTCTTTTCCTATCAGCATCCTTCTTGTCAGCACATGAACGGTTTCCAGTACGGCTTCTTCCTCTCACACTCGAGCCTGGCTGTAAGGGGACTGCAAGAGGCTGATATCAAGTCATCTTCAGGGACTTGCACTACTTGCTTTCAGAAAATAAATTTACAAATCGTAATGATTACAGAGCTGCATTCATTTGTGTATTTATGTGCCTAGAGTTTATTCAATCGCCTTGTTCATGAACATTCAGACCTGAAAATGATCTGCACAGTCGGAGACTTTACAGAACAATGGACATATTTAGCATTCATTTACTTGATGTTCTTTTTATCCCCAGATAAGCAGGACTGGTCCATCTCAATACTCATAGGTAACAAACATCAAGTAAATCATTGAGTTCCGTGACAACATGAACCCAGTCATAACAAAAGTCAACATCACAAATAATTAATTTCATACCCAGCAGTTCGAGCATCTGTAGAGGATTCCCCATTCTCGCGAATCGCATCACCATTTTGCTGGATTTCCACTAAAAACACAAAGTGTTATAACTTAATTAAGAATGTATTCAAAGGGTTGCTTGATTTTTAAGACAGTAGCATACACAACTTACTGGGAGTAGGGCCTGTGGAATTACATGATGTAAGAGACTCGGGTTCTACAATCAAACCGTCTAAAATGACAGTCAATTCACCCGTCTGCACTGTGCCATGTTTGCCATCCAATGAAAGCTTTAATTGCTCTTTTACTCGTTCCACTGCAAGATAATGGGGAAAAGTAACTAACCTTTAAAGGCAGAAAAGAGAAATTGTGAAAGCGAAAAAGAAACTATAACATATGTTTATCATTTATACAGTGCCAACAATTTTACGCAGAGCATTACATAGTATACATTCACAGTCTCTGCCCTCAAGGAGATTACATGCATACTTGCATATACTAGGTTCAATTTAGACATGAGCCAATTAACCTGCCAGAAAGTTTTAGAGTATGGGAGGAAATTGGAGTACCAGAGGAAACCCACTCGAGCACAGAGAGAACATGGTGGGATTCAGAGGACCCTAGTGCTGTAGAGCAAGGCTGCTAACCACTAAGCGACAGTACTACCCACACAGATGTACACATAGGACATGATCAGTACAGTTACTCTATAAATAAATGGAACCTCTACCTACTATATTTTGGCATTCTCCGTACTTATCTAAATTTCTATATCAAAATCACAGCTGATTGCTCTTCAATTACAAGAAAAAAAAAAAACTTTCCTTACTACTTTCTCATGTATAACATTAAGCTTTATTCTGAGAAGGACAACGGGTTGAATACTGCTAAAAAATGTTTATTAATACAAATTTTTGCTAGATATGCACAGGCTCTTTGCAAGATTATAATCTTGCAAAAATTAGGATATTTGGTTACCAGTAAAATCCTTTTCTTAGAGTACATCGCAGGAGGTTTCATATTCATCATGACCAATTGGGTTTTGCTGCCACCTTCAGCTAAATAAAAAAAAAGCATGAACTCCCCATCCAGGAATTACCCCTCCCCGACTGTCTAAGCCTCACTTTTGTAGCATGCAATAAAGAAAACAAAGAGGGGAGGGATCTTTGTGCTCTGTGATGTACTCAAAGAAATGGATTGGACCAGTAATTCAAAAATACCAATGTCTTAATCGTACATCAGAGGACACAGAGGACATTATATTCATGACTACTCGGGATGCCCCAGAGCACCAAACATAAGGGGTGGACAATATAGCAACAAGGCCAAATCGCCCGACAAATCAAAACAGAATATGGTAATACCCACTACAGAGCTGCCTGCAAAACCTTTCGCCAGAAACTGGTGTTCACAGAGATGAACACATCTACCAGGTAGCAGCCTTACAAATGGCCAGAGAAAGCTTTATGCTGAATCGCCCAAGAAGCATCGACACTCCTGTTGGAATAGGTCTTAACTGGAAAAGAAGGAACCTTGCAGTTACCGTAGACCTGAGAAAAAAAGCTGACAAAGCCACTTATAAATAATGATCATGAGACAGTCTGACCCTTGCGAGGATACTCATTCTGCAAACAGAAGGACAACCAAAGAGACAACTTTGTGTGTAAGAAACAGCAAGGGAATCTCTCAAGAGGCTCAAAAGGAGAAGAATGTAAAACAGACAAGACCCAATGTAGGTCCCATGGAGACAAGCTGGGCCTCACAGGAAGAACAATCTGTGCAAGACCTTGCACAAAAGCTTTTTACCATGGAATGAGATGCAATAGGTCTTTGAAAAGGAATGGCCAAGGCTGAGATCTGCCCCTTGATCTCCAGACTGGAGAAAGGCCAAAATTCATCACATGAAATACTGTTAGGAGTGAACCTTACGAGCCTCTCATGAAATAAGCCTTCCATGTACAATGGTAAACCTTCCTGGAGGTAGACTTTCTTGCCTTGAGGAGGGTAGGGATTACAGATTCAAACACCCCTATTCTTCAGGACTTGGGTTTCAACAGCCAACCCGTCAAAGGCAGTGATAATAGTGCAATATGGAAGACAAAATCCTGTGACAGCATATCTGAGCAAGAAAAAGAAGAGCCCACAATGTCCTCAAAAAAAGTTTCTTCTTGGCCAAGCAGGTGCGATCAGAATCACAGGAATGCTCTCCAACTTTAAACCTGTGCAACAAGCGAGGAAGAAGCTGTAGTGGAGGGAAGGCATAGATCAGGGAAAATTGATCCTAACGATTCACCAGATCATCCACTACAAACACTTGAAAATCCCTGGTCCAGGACACAAACCTGTCCATCTGGGTGTCCCCCACTGCAGACAATCTCTGCCATCATCCCCAAATGAACAGCCTTTTCCCCCCAAATTCAGCTGTTGAAGATGAAGAAAGCCCGCTTGCTGGGTTTCCAGGCCAGGAATATGCAAAACTGAAGAAGGAATGAACATGAAATTCTGCCCAAGACAAGTTCAGGTCTTCTTCCTTAGCGGTGTGACTTCTTGTCCCTCCTTGATAGCTGATGTAGGACAATGCAGTGTCTTTGTAGTGTAGGAGAGCCAGCCAAGCCACCTGAAGCGCCTCACGCAACTTCTGCTCCTCTAAGGACCATGTTCCCTGTACAAAATGTTTCCCCTCCTCAGCCCAACAAACTGGTATCAATCGTCAAAACCTTCCAGATCATTGGAAATAAGGATTTTCCACCATTCCAGAGCCAACCTGGTCTTGGGAGCCAGAAACAATGGCATAGTCAAGAACTTTTGACGTTTGTTCCACACTGGCAGGATAATGAGTTAAAGAGTTCTGGAGTGAAATTGGAATTGGGCATAGGAGACCGCACTGAAGGCAGCTACCATCTGTCCCCACAATCTCATGCAGACGCAACTCAAGGAACATTCCAAGAACAGAAGAGACAAGCTTTTCTTTTACAGAAACAGTGCCTTCACCTGTACTGTGTCAAAGAACTAAGCCTAAATACTCAAGACATTGTAATGGAACCAGAGCCGACTTCTGAAGGTTCACTACCAAACCAAAACTTTCTAGAACCAGTACCATCTACTGGACATGTACCCCAACAATGGGAATATTCTGAATCATAATCAATCCCAGAACCAGACACAATACCTTGGTAAATACACTGGGAGTTGAGGAAAGGCCAAATGCTAATGTCACAACTGGTAGTGGCAATTTACTGAAAGTAGTGGTGCACCAAAATGAAAATTCAAGATGTACTTGGCTGAAAACGGAAAAGCACATTTTTTTTTTTAATAGTAGTTTTTTTTATATAATTGTATTATATTCAACTTTTTAAAATCATGCATTTAAATGAATATAAATTTTAAAATACAATCCAGTAACGTAAAATAACTTGTTGAAAAAGTAACACAAAAATTGGACAGAAAATAAAATCAAATATATATAAAATTAAAAAAACTTAGAGGTGTTTTTGCATTGAAGTCAATAAGGGGCATTTTTGCATTGAAGTCAATGGGATGCGTTTTTGCATTGAAGTTAATGGGCCGCGATTCTGCATTGAAGCCAATTACTGACACTTTTTTTTTTTTATTAATTGGCAAAAAAAAAGATAACCCTATTTTCGGACAATATATCGGTGCATCACTAACTTAAAATGCTGGAAACCTGGATATGTAGGTAGGTATCCTTCATATTCGTTGATGCCAGAAGGTCCTCCCTCTTGAAGTGAGGCAATCACTGACTGGGTAGACTATATATGAAATTTCTGTGCCCTCTGACCTTGTTGAGACCCTTTAGGTCCGAAATAGACAGGATGTCTTCATTTTGCTTGGGAACCATAAACAGGCTGGAATAGAAGCTGTGAGACTTCTCCACTTCCGACGTGGGAGTGATGACCCCCTGGAACAGCAGCCTTTCTACAGCTGGAAAGAAAACCTGCTCTTTCTGTGGCTACAAAGATACCCTTGAGCATATAAAACGTGGAGGAGCAAAACAGCTAAACTCCAGCTCATAACCTCGGGTTACCACAATGCAGATCCAATTGTCTGAAACTTCCAAAGTTCAGACAGAAACAAAGGCTGATAGACATCCCCCCACCTGCGAGAGTGGTGGTGTCACTTTACTGTGAAGACAGATCTGAAGAACTTGGAGGTATAGTTCTTAGAGAACTGGAAACTGGGTTCTGCTTCGAACCTGAGACTTACTGCTTAAGAAAGGAACTCTTCTTATGATGGGGTACTGGATCAGTCACCTTTGTCAACTTTTTTTTTTAGGGATAAGAGTGTGCTTTTCCCCATAATCACCTTCTGGATAAAGGCATTCAAGGACAGTAAAACTGAGCATTTACACTCAAAGGGCAGACGCTCAACTTGATTTCCTGCAGAGAAGTTCATTGACCAGCAATTGAGCTGTGTGATCCTTTTCATGTGGACAGACATGGTGCCCAACCAGGAAAACTGCAGTATGGAGTCTTCCAAGGTATTCACTGAGAAACTTAAAGCTCTTGGAAAATCTTCCAGGAACTGCGAAAATGGCAGGATCACCTGTGTTCAATGAAAAGCGGCATAAACTTTCAGGGCTTGAGAAACTTCCACTGCAGCCAACAGACTGCAGAGCTGCTCCTATCAGAGAGGATGATGCCCTATAGAGGGCGTCCAACCTCTTTTTTTGTGGTGTCTTTAACCTGGAGGTATTCCCGAGTGTGGCTCGGGGTAATGTTTCAGCACCACAAGCGGTAACCCCGAGATACACTCGGGAATACCTTGCAGCGTTGCTCCAGGATCTCTTCTTCACTCACCTTGTCCTGCGCTCCCACGATGTCCCTCCTGCAGTGTCCCTGGCAATGTCCTCCGGCCGATTCCGGCATCTGTCTTCCGGGTTCCGTTCCCTGCGACGTCAGGACGTACGGGGGACGGAACTGGCAGGAAATTTGAAACATTTTAAAAGTGACATTCACTAAATTAATTAAAATCACATAGTAAAAACATTACTGTATCAAACCAATTCACATACATTTTGTCCCTAGTGCTTTGTCCTGTGCCCTGCCTGCATTTTTACTGTTCTTTCTGCCTTGAAACTGAGAAAAGTCCATGGCGTCCAAAAAGCATCCCTTTAGATCAAATGCGGTTTTAGACCAGCTAGAGAACAGCGATAGTAAATTAGAACTACTTGCAGAATTGAGTAATAATGATTCGTGGGGAAATTCGTCATCAGACACTGAAAACGATGTTGCGACTTTGCTCAGTGATGTGCGAGCTGGCGCTCTATTTCAAATTTCTGGTTTGATTATATTATTG